TATAGCTTAAAATGCATATATTCTCACTGGAAGCATATTACAGACTTTAGAAAATGGCTGCCTTGATACCAGAGACTCCCTCAAATGGAGACCCCACATTACCACTTAGGGCTTGAATGAAGAAAGCCACAGAAGATTCATTAGCATACCAAAGAGGACCTGGGCACAAGAGGAACAGTACAGTGTTCGATCCAAGAGCATCGACCACTGACACAGGAAAAAAAAGTCAATTTTCATCTTAACTTAACTTTTTTTTTTTTTTACAATATATTCACAGATTTATTCTATTTATTTATTGAAGGAAAATCTATAAATTTTCCTGGGAGGAGTGAAAGGATGTCATGACTAATAACTACAGTACAGCTTAATCTAGTTAGTGGTGCTTGCTAAATTTCACTATTCTCATTCCTAGAAGTAGGGAAAAGCACTTAACACTAAGTATTAATTAAATTTTTTGTGTTAAGGACATAAATAATAGCTCAAATCATGAGGATTGTTGAGGAAAATATGCTAGAATAGCTAAGTAGCCAGACTAATGCTTTTTGCATGGCAGATGATAAATTGGATGATTAAACTCTATAGACTTAAAGCCTGTTCAGACCAATGCAAATGTTTCTGTAAAATTTTCAAACACAAATTTGATTTGTCTGAAAACTTGTGTAGCAAAATAAATAAATAATTTGTGTAGCAAAATACTCTGAAAGAGCCACCAAGTCACAGTTTTAAGTAACAGCACAAACTTATTGGTTGGCCAGTTGTCTTAGTAGTGCGGTGGGAAAAAAGATTAAAACACTTCCCGTAAAACCAAAAATTCATTGCATTGATGGAATGCGAATGTTTGGGTTGATCTGAACAGATGCATTAACTATAAACGTATATCGTACCGTATATTTGTCTTGGTGTGAATAGGCCTTTCACTGACGGAGAGACCCAAGCCATATCTACAGACCAGGATATCATAGACCCTGTGTCCAAATATGCTTAATTCCTTTCTATATAGTAAGTGAAAAACAGAATGTGAGACGAGTAGTATGTCCAAAAATGATGACCCTCTACTTCCAGCAAGATTCTGAAGTGTGCATCTGATGGACACTTTACTATCCCATGAGGCCACGGGGAAAGGATATGTGAATAGCTGTGAAGTGACACAACTAATGCTGGTGAGTCATATGACAGTGACAGCATGGTGGATGTTGTAGCATGCGAATTTCCATATTCATACTTAGACCATACTTTTTTAACAGTCGTGTAGTAAGTTTCAATTAAAATGTAGTACCTACGAGACAGTATGTGATTTTGGATGCAGCTAGAGACTTTAGGATGTGGCTTTTTTGGACTTGAGCTAGTAAGCATCCTATTAAGCATCCCCACAACACTCCAGAACAGCAATAGTTAGTTTTCCACATATTTTCAACAGAAATCTTATTCAATCTAATCTACAGTTTAAGATTCTGATCCTGTGGTGCCACATGGCTACGTTGCTAATACGTAGAGTGTTGGTTGTAGGTGTGGTCTCACTTCACTGTGAAATTGTAGCTCCACTAAGGTTGGTGTGGACACCACAGGGACACAGACCCTCACCACCTGCACCAAAACAGTGGGGGTGCCAGCAACCCTGGGCAATTAGCACGCCACTGCTGTCTGTATGAACTTCATCCCACCCACCTGACAGGCGTGAATGTTCCGGAGCCCCAGTGCTGGGCCTCATCGATTGCCTCTTTGAAAAGGTCGGTGTCTTGGCAAGACCCCGGCACCCCCTGCACACAATCTCTTCACAGCCCACTCACCTACTGCAGAGACAGCCAACCAATCTATTGTGGCAGGAAACACCAGCCGTCCTGTCAGAGAAAGACAGGACGCCCTGTAGCAGCGATACCTAAACATTGGGTTTAGCGCACATGCAAATGTCTCCGCAGTATCTCCCCTGGAATTTGAGGAATCCTTGACATTCTCAAAAAAGAGAATATGTAATCTATGCTATCCAACAACAAAGAGATTGTACTCCTGACGGAAATATAGATGAGGGCTTTACAGTGATGCCACCATGCCTGTCAGCAGTGGATCTCTTCAAATCTTTTAGGTGGCTGTCATGTGCGAGCTATGAGTGACACATGAATTCTTTGTAAAACAGCTTTCAAAGCACTTGCACTTCAGTCTCCCACCACAAAATAAAACTGTCAGAGGACACTCCTCTTTCTTTGCCTGACACATCACAAATATCTTTTATCTCCCATGTCTTGCTTGCTGCAAGCAACTGTCTCCCTTACAAAACACATCTAAAGACATTAAGTATGTCAATGGAGATATGGATGGATGGATGGGAAAATTAGATAAAATTATGGATGGATAGGAAAATTAGATAAAATGATAGATGGATGGGAAAATTAGATAAAATGATAGATGGATGGGAAAATTAGATAAAATGATGGATGGATGGATGGAAAAATTAGATAGATGGATGGATGGAAAAATTTGATGTAATGATAGATGAATGGATGGATGGTTGGAAAAATTGGATATAATGATGGATGAATGGATGGATGGATGGATGATAAAATTAGATAAAATGGCGGATGGATGGATGGATGGGAAAATTAGATATAATGATGGATGGATGGGAAAATTAGATATAATGATGGATGAATTGACGGATGGATGTAAAAATTAGATATAATGATGAATGAATGGATGGATGAGAAAATTAGATATGATGGATGGATGGATGGATGGATGAGAAAATTAGATTGATGGATGGATGGATGGGAAAATTAGATAAAGTATGTCAATGGAGATAAAGCTCGATGGATGGATGGATGTAAAAATTAGATATAATGATGGATGAATTGACGGATGTATGTAAAAATTAGATATGATGAATGAATGGATGGATGAGAAAATTAGATATGATGGATGGATGGATGGATGGATGAGAAAATTAGATATAATGATGGATGGATGGATGGATGGATGAGAAAATTAGATATAATGATGGATGGATGGATGGATGGATGAGAAAATTAGATATAATGATGGATGGATGGATGGATGGATGAGAAAATTAGATATAATGATGGATGGATGGGAAAATTAGATATAATGATGGATGAATTGACGGATGGATGTAAAAATTAGATATAATGATGAATGAATGGATGGATGAGAAAAGTAGATATGATGGATGGATGAGAAAATTAGATATAATGATGGATGGATGGGAAAATTAGATAAAGTATGTCAATGGAGATAAAGCTCGATGGATGGATGGATTAAAAAATTAAAATAATGGATGGATGAATTGACGGATGAATATAATGATGGATGGATGGGAAAATTAGATAAAGTATGTCAATGGAGATAAAGCTCGATGGATGGATGGATGTAAAAATTAGATATAATGATGGATGAATTGACGGATGGATGTAAAAATTAGATAATATGATGAATGAATGGATGGATGAGAAAATTAGATATGATGGATGGATGGATGGATGGATGAGAAAATTAGATATGATGGATGGATGGATGAGAAAATTAGATATGATGGATGGATGGATGGATGAGGAAATTAGATATAATGATGGATGGATGGATGGATGAGAAAATTAGATATAATGATGGATGGATGGATGAGAAAGTGAGATATAATGATGGATAGATATATGGATGGATGGATGAGAAATTTAGATATAATGATGGATGGATGGATGGATGGGATAATTAAGATAGACAGACAGACAGACAGACAGACAGACAGATAGATAGATAGATAGATAGACTGTAATGAACAGAAATCAGCTGTTTCAAATGTGTCGACTGGATTTTTTCCCCTCCCAGAATAAAACATTCTTGACAGGAAATGCCATAAATATTCGTTTTGGAATGACAAGACGAGCAGATTCCATACTCTGCCATGCAAGTGTGATATGTGTTCTGACTGCTCATCACCCTGTCATTATGGACAGATGGATGGATGAGAAAATTAGATATGATGGATGGATGGATGGATGAGGAAATTAGATATAATGATGGATGGATGGATGAGAAAGTGAGATATAATGATGGATAGATATATGGATGGATGGATGAGAAATTTAGATATAATGATGGATGGATGGATGGATGGGATAATTAAGATAGACAGACAGACAGACAGACAGACAGACAGACAGACAGACAGACAGACAGACAGACAGACAGACAGACAGATAGATAGATAGATAGATAGACTGTAATGAACAGAAATCAGCTGTTTCAAATGTGTCGACTGGATTTTTTCCCCTCCCAGAATAAAACATTCTTGACAGGAAATGCCATAAATATTCGTTTTGGAATGACAAGACGAGCAGATTCCATACTCTGCCATGCAAGTGTGATATGTGTTCTGACTGCTCATCACCCTGTCATTATGGACAGATTTTCTCCACTTCTCAGATTAATCCTAAATAGGAAACTGTAATATTGTTTACACTGCAAATAATTGTCTCTGAATAATTTTACATTTTAATGCAGCATCACAATCCATAAAGTAGTAGGGGAAATTTTCAGGTTTTGATGCAACCTTGCAACTTGATTAAGAGTTTCATTCAGAAGTATAAACTGGCTATTCTGAAGAGTCCTTTATTCATATTATTATGCTGTCCAATTTACTCACTCACCCTACATGCCTTTCTTTTTTCTGTAAAACACAAAATATGGTTTGCTGAATGTCCTGACAGCTCTTTTCCATAGAATGAAAGTGAATAAGGATTAGGGCTGCCAACCTCCAAAAACATAACCGTTTTTAACATTGATAATAAATGTTTCTTGAGCAGTAAATAAGCATATTAGAATGAATACTGACACTGAAGACTGGCTTGCAGTCACAATATTACTGTCACAGCTTTGCAGTCACAGTATTACTGTTTTTATTTTATTCTTGATAAGTAAATGCAGCCTTGGTGTGAATAAGAAACTTTCAAAAACATTTAAAAAATTGCACGTTTAAACGGTAGTGTATGCAAATGTCCAATAACTTACCTTTACATCAAACTTGGCACGTCAGATATTAATCAGCCATATTTGGATTCAAGAAAGTACAAACAAGGAGAAGAATCACTGAATAACGACAAATTTCAGTCTCTTCCTCCCATAAAGCTATTGAATGATTTCAGAAGATCTAGTATATAATGCCCAAGTCATATGGACCAATTTTATGATACTTTTACGGTTCTTTTTGGAGCTTCACAGCCGCTGTCCCCATGCACTGTCATTGTATTGAAAAAAGCAGGACCCTCTTCTGAAAATCTAAAATCAAAACAAATGCAGCCATAACTGTTTTAATTGAATCATTGCCAGCAACTTGACAGGCACTCCTGCAGCCACTTGACGACCATGTCCAGCTTCACATCTCTATTGCTCTGCCTCAGAGCCAAGGAGCCACAGAGCTGAGGGTCGCTTTCAGAAGCTGCAGCTTCTTCTTCTTCATGTACAGTCAGTAACTCCCTGCAGTCCTTCATGTCCTTCAGCTTACGGTAGAATGCTCTACAGCTGTAGCCTTCTCTCCAGCCCTGCTCTATGTGTGTCATCAGCTGCTCAAGTTCACTGTAGTAGCACAGACAGCCTGAACACTTGTACCTTGTAATCCCACAAACCTTGTTCGTCGCTGTTACAGTTTGGATAAAACAAGCGTTTCGTCCCAAACTTTGAAGGTCTTTGGAAAGGTGGTTGATCCCAGTGCAGAACCTGAGGTTGACAGTGCATAGCTTTGGGAGGATCTTAGAGCAGCTGGGCTTAACACCAGGTTTCTCCATGGTTTTGGACGGCAACTGTGCAGAGTTTGCAAGGCTCTTCTGACCTCAACCGTTTTCAAATAAACTTTATGGTTTATTGTTGTCCTTGAACACTAACAGACATTGACAAATAACCTGTGACAAAAGAAAAAACATCAGCATTTAAACCAAAAGGTCAAACATTTTTGAAAGAACACAAAAATGGTGAAAAATGGGTTTAATCCGCTTTGACCTTTAACAAGTCTGTAAATACATCTAAGATATATGCTTTTCCCAAGACTGGTTGCTTCTCGGTCACTGTGATTACATGCCATAGACAATTTTCTTTCTACATGTTGAAATGGTATGAGAGGATATGAGTTGCACTGTAAATCAATAAATCTGATGAAATACAAAGAAAGGCTCCAACAACAACATAACTATCGATTTGAAGTCACATAGCTTCACCCTAACAAACCTCTTTTTTCCTGCTTAAAGGGGTCAAACTGAGAATTTGAAATTTTCATCAACTTTGGGAAATAAACTAACTTCAAGAACTGAACACTTCCTCCGCAGTCCAAAAGGAACATTTACTAACACTAAACTGCAAAAACAGCTCTTTCTGATTTGCTGAGGTAAGGTGAGGTAATAAGGATGAAGTATGATATGTATTAGTCCTAAACACCACAATAATTAACAAAAGGCATAAAAAGTGGATGCAAAGAGGCTGTTATTGAAGGATAGGGCAGCACATGCTATATATTGGACCCAAAGCTGCATTTATCGGACCAAAAAATACAGTAAAAACTAATTAAATAATATTACAATTTAAAATGGTTTTCTTAATATATCGTAAAATGTAATTTATTCCTGTGATGGCAAAGCTGAATTTTCAGTGGCTGTTACTCTAGTCAAGATTCTTTGATGAAAGTTCAAAGAGAACAGCATTTATTTAAAATATAAATACTGCCCCCAAACTTTTGAACTGTAGTGTAATGCTGTGTTCAAGTCCTCCTGGGACGTTCGTACTTACGAGTTGACAAGTCGTAATTACGACGTCAGGTGCGTTTAGTCGGCGGTGTACCTTCTTTTAATAAATTACAAGAAAATACAACAGGGTCTGTGGTGCGTTCAAGTCATGTTGGATAGATCGTATTTACGAGTTGAACGCACACACTCTAAAAAATGCTGGGTTGTTTCAACCCAACTTTGGGTCAAATATGGACTAACCCAACTTTTGGGTTAAAAATTTAATGTAAAAATTTAACCCAACGGTTGGGTTAGTCCATATTTGACCCAAAGTTGGGTTGAAACAACCCAGCATTTTTTAGAGTGTGTGCGTTCAACTCGTAAATACGATCTATCCAACATGACTTGAACGCACCATCTGTTCTCATGTTCTCAAGGGTGCTTGAATTGAAATCTTATAAATTTAGTTTATTTAATTCTAAGTATCAAAAATAGGGTGTAAAATGGTCACGCTTGATATGGTCCCTTTAAATTTTTAACTGAATTCAACCTTAATACTTCAATGAATTCCTCAATGACAAACAATAAATAAAGGACAAAACAAAGAGTACTGTTTCAATCTGCTTGATTCTCAATTGTGCTTCTGTGACTTTGTGAAGAGCAGCAGGCAGCTTCCATACAGATGTACCCAAGGCTGTAGTGCAAATAATCTAATCAATTCACTCCAAGAGTCTCTGTGTCTAGAATGGGCAACGTTCTCGGTCATAGTTACCTTCCCTTGTAGATCGTCTGGCATCAGTGTCCGTAATGGCAGTTTCAGTGGCTGGTTATTTCACATGGATCCTATGAAAGATGACTGTCTTTCTCTAGAAAGATGTCAAGCTGTAGTTTGAGAGGAGAAACAAACAGCTGAGACGGGTAAAGGCAATTTGCCATAAATAAATCATATGAAATCATGTTGCCATTGAGGTAATTGTTTGTGTTATTCAAGTGTTTAAGAAACAAATGCCACTGCAACTGGAGTATATGAAAACGTCAAATTAGACACAAATGGTGTAAATTATTCTAACTCCAGGGAAATTTGGAAAGAAATGCAGAAGTACAATAAGATTTCAAATGGATACAGTGCATAACAAATGAAAAGAATAAGTCATCCATTTAATAAAGTGGCAGAAGAGAGGCGGAAAGAGAAGAAAAATGGGGCATGAATGTACAGAATGCTTCTCCATTAGGAGTTAAATTATACATAATAGTCTCAACAGTCATTTTCAAAAAGCTTGGAGGCGTAACCTCTTAATGCAGGCCACAACAAAGCAAACTTGGATCTAAATACATAATAGCTGCAATACAACTATACTCTTACCTTTATTGTCCTTCACAACATCTCCATCAACTTTTGCATATCATTAGACAAAAGCAACAGTATTCATTTCTGTTACTTTTTAAATTATTGTTTAGTGTTACCAAGGAAACCAGAATAAGGTTCTAACCATCAGATGTTTACATGTTCTTAATGACAGCATTCAAAAATATCCCTTTTACTTGACAGAGATTGCTGGATTATGCATCCTAAAATATAACAACTGTCATAGCTACAGTACAGCAGGCTGTGGTCAGAATTGTTACAGTGAGTGCTTTAAGGTGCACTCTGTCTGTCAGTCATTTTGTATACATTCACAGGACAGCTCATTTAGTAGGATGCTTGAGGAGAGTTTGGACCATATTCAGTTAAGTTTGTTATTGACCACTGCTTATATATATATATATATATATACACATACACACACACACACACACACACACACACACACAAATGTACATTACATGTGTATATACAAGCACAAAGACATTTAAGAGTCTTAAGAGCAATTGCATTTTTATAGTTCCTTAAAGAATTCAAATAATGATCACCATCTTTCTTGAAAATAAAAGGTTGTACACTATTTTCTTTACAAATTTACATTTATAGGATCTGAGAAGTACAGATCCCATTCATTTTCTCCATAGGGAGATACTCACTATAGTGAGTCAGAAGGTTGTTAATCGATGGTATATGCTTTTGTTGAAGCCATCAGCCAGCATTATTTGAACTTGTTTTTTTAAATGATTGCTTAACACTGGAATTCCTGGTTTAAAGAAAAAAAATACATTACCCATGATTCAGCAAAAATTTCCACCAATCAGAGAATTGAGACAAAAATCATGCCAAAAGAACCACCCATTCCTATGAAGCACTGCAAATAGTCAATCTCCCTGCACACTCAAACTACTTACATATAGTGTATTTATGCAAATTTTGCAATTATCGTAAAATATATTGCTTCTATATTAAATCAACATCTTTAAATCCATTTTTTTAAAATTAATTTATTCGTTTTTATTTTGATTTGGTTGTTCATCTAGCAGGTCATTCACAATGCTTCATGGGATTATAGATCTTTCCCACATTAAAAGTACACACTTCTCCCTTTGTCATTTTTCAAATAATTTTTTGTTTCAAATCAAAGTTCGTAATATTGTGATTCACCTCGTAGTTGGTTAGTTTGGTTCGGTTCATGGCTTATGTCTCAACAAAGACTTTTTAAAAATCCTTGTGTAAAATACTTCCAGAACCAAGGCTGGCACTGTTGCACTCTATATGCAAGCAAACCATTCATTGCTGTGAGGAAAATGGGGAAAAACACCTGACAGACTTAACTATTTTAATGACGCCCACATTTCAAAATCCAATCAACAACTGATAGACAGAACCAAGTCCCCACCCTACATTTTTTTCTTTTTGAATAATCCGTTAGACTCGAAAATACGTCACAATAGAATAGTTGCAATATTAAAAACACTACACGCTACACTTAACTCTGGGTTAAAGTCACTTTTAACCCCTGAACGGTTGATATTTCACATCAGAAATTTTGAAAGAGGTTCACATGCCAGGTTTAGCTTCATCGCCTGAAAGTGCTAACATGTTATGAACACGCTAAACACGTGACTTTACAAGGCAAATGCATCAGGATCTTTTGGAATGATCAACCCTCACCTCACTGAACACCTGGAGTAATGAGAATGTGGTGAAATCAGCCGTTCACAGAGAAGGCTGTGCAGTCATTAGTTCGACAACATGAGCCAGTTGAACAGACAGTGTAGAAAATGATAGCATGTATCTGTCAGGGTCTCATCTCGCTTTGCCAAATCAAGCTTATTTTTCATTTCTGAAAAGAGACGCTCGGCATACAGAGAGACCTTGTCAAGCAACACATGGGATGTAGGCGAGCAAGCTGCCTTCATACCTAAGATCCCAAATGCATCACAAGGAGGTGAGCGCCGTTTACACCTCAGAGATCATTTTAATATTTAATACCCTTTTCTAAAGCTAAAAAGTGACGTGGTCGTAATCCCATTTGCCTATGACAACAGTGCACCAACACTGATGCTGCTGCCGAAGAGAAAGAAGTTGTGCGGATGCAGCGAGACGAAAATAAGGTTCTCCACAGTGATTCATGCAGAAGGCACATCTAACGCCTCTCTGGCAGCAGAGCCGGTGTGATCTGCCGGCTTCCAAAGCTTCATTCCATGACCCTGATTTCCTAAAGCCAGCTAGAGTGTTCCAAACTAATCCCATCCTGCACCCGGAGAGCGAGGCAGATGACACCATACAAAAGAAACCCACAAACAGTATGAAATATCAAACAGACGCACATCATGAATGAGTAATTGAGAATGACTGCGGGGCAGAGCGCATAGTGAGGAGCATCTTGGCATGAGCGCTTCCTCATACTCAGCTGCACATCTTCCAGCCAATCGGCTGCCAATGACACCACCATCGTCTCGCTGCGACTAAGACTCCAACATGGATGGAAAGAACAAACACGCATTCAGAGGGTGAACGAAATGGGAAGAGTTTGCGATTTATTATTTTCCACAATAACCCAAGTGAAGTGCCAGAATACGAGCACTTGCTGGAGAGACGAGAGTGTGTAATACGGTGGAAAAAAAGATTGCCAGGGGTTGTCAGTTGTTGGTAAAGAAAGATAGGCACACATTGGGATGTTATTCAATGGCTTTAATGTGTAAAAAGTCAAACATGAAATCAATTTTAAGTTAAAGCAACTTTAATTTTTTAGATCTAGAAAAGAAATTTAATTACAATTAAAAGGTGCACTCAATAGAATTTTCCCTAATTAAAATGTTTTGCACAAAGAAATTGAAATATGTATAAAATAAAGTATCCTCACATGAGATGAAGACTGCAATCATATCAGTTACCTAATAAAAGCAGCTTTATTTTACATGGAGTGGGCTGGCTTGTGTTAAATACTACTAACATTGTTTCTGAAACTTTGCATATTAATAAATGAATTGCTGCTGATTGTGAATGACATAGCGTGTAGCGTAACAAACAAAAAAATACTGAGTCCACCTTTAAATTAGACAGATATTAGACATTATTAACCATAATTAATGCATTAATAATAAAAAAGAATACCTTCATTTCTGATGTTAAGGTCACTTACATAGCATAAAGTTACCTGAATTTTCTTCCAGCACTGATACCGTTTCAAAACACATGGTTTCAACATTCTACCATCAGCAAAATTAAACGTAAAATAAAATAACATTAAAAAGCATTCATTATTCCAAGAAAAGTGCATACTCGCTGTTGCTGTAACCAACCACACAACTTTTATGGCCATGGTTGGTCCTATGCATCAGTAACTGGGCATGTTTGAAGATCAAAATGCATGATATGAATTTTAAACCACATTTATCTATAGAATGTATCATTTTTTGTGTTTTATACTTCCATTGTATTGAGGATAAAATGACCATATAGACAGTGGAAATAGGACATACAGAATATCCTCTTTTTGACCTCTTTAAGAAACCCATAATCAATTCTGAGGCTTTGACAGACAGGAAAAGCCCTACCATTGCAAACATTGTTCTCATAATATTATCAATCTTTCAATCACCTTCTTATCTATAGAGGCCGTGAAAACATCTGTCCAGTATTGAAGCTCATGTCACACGCTCTCATAGAATCACATCAGTAAACCAATTCTCCCCATGACAATGTTCAGTTGGCCCGTCACCTTATAGATTAAAACAAAAAATATGTTCTGTAAACCAAAGAAAAGTTCCCTCTCACCTATATTTTACATTAAAATGTCCTTCTTTGAACACTGTGTAAGGCACTTAAAACATTTTAAATGTCTTTAAAATATAAAAAATTTTCTTTATTTACTCACCTTTAAGTCTTTCAAAAACATTTTTCTTTGTGGAACACAAAAAGAGATATTTAAGCATGTCATATAGCTGCTTTTTTCCATAGAATTAAAGTAAATGGTGGTTTTCAATCAATAACTTATAGAACTATTATTGCTATATAGAAAATAGCTCATGACTTATAGCCAACTTTTATATTTATAAAGTGCCTTTTTTGGAAAATAGCAGCATAAACATTCTTCAAAATATCTTCTTTTGTGTTTCACAGGAGAAAGTTGTACAGTTTTAGAACAGCATAAAGGTGAGTAAATGACAGTTTATTTTTGACTAAAAATCTACTTCCTATTTTCAACATCCCAGCAATTTTAAGGACACCAGCAATTACTGAAGTAATAAATAACTGAGAAAGCTAAGTTAATCAAATAAATTAATTATAAATGACTTACAGAAATGATCATTCAGCATAGAAAACATACCCACAGTTGGTCAGAATTTAAAGAGGTTTATATCCACATACTCTAAACCAGGGGTGTCAAACTCAGTTCCTGGAGGGCCGCAGCCCTGCTGAGTTTAGTTCCAACCCTGCTCCGACACACATACCATGTAGCTTTAAAATAAGCCTGAAGGACTTGATTAGCTGGATCAGCTGCATTTAATTAGCGTTGAATCTAAACTCTGCAGGGCTTGTGGCCCTCCAGGAACTGAGTTTGACACCCCTGCCCTAAACTAACTAACCAGCACTGTTTCTCTACAACTTTAGGGAAATATGAAGCAAAAATCACAGTAATTTGGCCACTACAATCTAGTATTTGCTGTGACATTCAGCTCTGTTTCATCCCCTTCAAATGACCGACGATCTATTCTCAACAGCAGGTAAATGACTAGAGGTAGGCTGCCATATGGTTTCAGTTACAAGTAATAATCACTGTACATGTTTAACCATAATTGTGTATAAAAAGTGTAACCCAGCATCTCAATCACTGCATCGTGGGCTACTGAAATTACACAATGTAAATACAAGCTGATGTTACAGCATGCAGGACAAAGCGGACAAGGAATAAAACGGCGAATTTGGCACCATCTAGTGGTTGGAAAGAGAATGGCAGCAGCGCCGCCACTGCCAGCACTGCTGCTTATCTGAGCCTAATCTCAATACTCAGCCAAAAAATACACACACAACCAGGCTGCCAGGAGGCTCGAAGTGCAAGCGAGATCTGACTTACATCAGGTACCGGATCACAGAGGAGGAGTTTTTAAAAATGCTAGTCACTAGAAAAAAGTAGTTAAATATTTGAATAAATAGAAGCTACTTTGCAGGAGAACGGGGAGGATGAGACACCAGCAGATGGAGCTGGCAGCACTGACTGATTAAAATAACTCAAATTACCATCTTATAAAATGGTAATGATTGTCAATTGCGACAGAGAGACCCAGAGGTTATGATGAGCGTTTAAATACAGTGTTTACATCTTGCTGAGAAATGGAGGTGTTCAGTAATGATGTGTATGTGCAGGCCAACCTGGAAGACTAATTCACCATGGGTTTCCTTAGGAACTTCCTGTGGGCTTTAATAATGGCAGTTTTGGATTTATAATTAAAATAAGGTCTGTAGTTTCGAGACTTTTACATTTCATCATACAACATACACTACTGTTCAAACTTTTGGAGCTGGTAAGAACTTTTGATGATTTTGAAAGAAGTCTTTCATGCTCACCATTAAAAATACAGTAAAAAAAAAACAGTAATGTGAAATAATACTACAATTTAAAATAACCGTTTTCTATTTTAATATATTTTAAAATGTCATTTATTCCTATGATGGCAAAGCTAAATATTCAGCAGCCATTACAAACGATTCTAATATTCTAAACATGATGAATGATATTTGAAAATTTTTTTCAGGATTCTTTGATGAATCAAAGTTAAAAAGAACAGCATCTATTTGAAATGGAAATCTTTTGTAATATTATACATATCTTACCCATCACTTATGGACAATTTAATGCAACCTTGCTTAATAAAAATAATAATTTCTTTCAAAAAAAAAAAAATCTTACTGACCCCAAACTTTTGAACAGTAGTGAATGTTGTAGCACATATACCTTATTTTACTCCGAAATCCAAAACTTGTTGAACATTTTTGAGAACACTCATGGCACGAAAATGCTAATTCTCCTCAGGGTTTTAGAATTACAAACTGAACAACTCTATTATGAGTGATGAATTTTAATACACTTATCCAAAAATGTTCAAATCAAATATGTTAATTCATTAAAACATACCATTTTTTCAGTTTAACAGACAGAGTCTGTACTGTGCATGTCGTGTAAAAGGAAGGCACTATCAATCCTAAGCGGAGGAAGTGGAATGCTCAATAAGCTGGTGTGAAGTCAGAACAGCCCATATGAAATGCACTTTGAACTGTAGTGCAGGTGAAGGGTGTAGAGAGAACCTTTGCTATGTTCTCTCTTCAAAGAACCACTTCTGGGAGGCTGAGTCGGTGCAGGGACGGAGAGCAGGGCCAGGGTTCCCAGTGTCGGTCCGGGCTACTGCCTCAACACACTTCTGTGTCTGAACATGGTAGAGAGAGCCGTCCTGCCAATGCAATGATTATGAGAATTGTTACACATCCAAGTCTAATACTTAAGGTCAGGGGTTTGTTCAAATACTACAGTATAAAGGCCTTTGGCACACTAGAACAGGAAGCTCAGTCAACCCCAGCGTTTCATTTGCTCCCAGCACCTCCTCCTTACTCTAATACCCCACAGTCTAGAGAGAATCACGCTGACGTCACGCTGCTCTTCAGGTGCTCGCTGTACTGGCAAAGAGTTCACATTAAGGCTTGCTTCTGAAATTTCACTACAAGCCACACTGAAACCTCTTGCCATGCTGGGTGACTTTCTCAAGTAACACTTTAATGTGACATTTTCTTGGACCGTTGTTTGCTTCCAAGAACACTTGATGTGCTGCTCAAGAAGTATTTCTTTTTATTATCAATGTTGAAAACAGTTGTGCTGCTTAATATTTTTGTGGAAACTGTGATGCATATTTTAGGATTCTTTCATGAATAAAAAGTTCAAAAGAACTGCATTTATTTCAAATAGAAATTATTTGTAACATTATAAATTACTGTTACATTACTGTTTCACTTTTGATCAATTTAAAGCATCCTTGCTGAATAAAGCAACAAAAGTCGACAAAGGTCTTATTAACTTTTGAATAGTAGTGTATATGTGATTATTTAGGATTAATTAATGCAATTAATTTGAATAAAATTCTATTTGCATACAATCATACATCTGGTTTGTGATCTCACCTCTCTGAATAGGAACTTCTGGTCTTCAGGCACAGCTTCCCTGGGTTTACTGCAGTGATGCATGGTAAGAAATGTGGAGACAGGATCAGCCACGACGCAGCCTGCAGGGTCCCTCGTGTTATAACGGATCTCTTGGAGTGTGGAGTACTCAAAGAACTGTCGCAAAAAGAGAAGAAGATATATACACACTCAACACAGCTCAACACATTTCTGAAGGTCTGTTATACCTTCGAATAAAAATACTACAACATAAGCATCTTTTTTTTAATTCTCAAACAGGATTGACCCAAATGTACCAAACCAGAAAGAAACAGAAGAGCATTTCTCTTGTATTCACAGAGAGAATCCATTAGAAAAGTGTTGTTGTGCTGTACATATGGCTGATATTGTGCACTGATGAGTCTTCAAGGCTCATCTGCCTCCCCACAGAGAGGGAGGAGACGAATAAAATCTGTGCCCGGCAACTGGGGTTGCCTTAAAAACAAGCGTGCTGTGAAGTGCACAACACACTATTTACTGCGCCGTATTAGGATGCTGTCTTAATAATACATTAGAAGTGTGAGACACACGTTGATGTATATTCCTGAGGACGCATTACAATCTCTGTGTATTGTGCAGCAGTGAATACTAATTGGAGCAGTCCGTCATTACAGTTGTGAAAATGAAAGTTACCTGGTTTTGTCCCATGCCGTGACAAGGGTAAAGAATGACTCGGTGACCGGCCATATTATGATCATCAGGTGGGTTGTAGTCAAAGCAGTAGTTGTCCATTCCTTTATTCTTCAGCTACAATTGAGAAGAAACAAAGAAACATTCAAATAATCGTGTCCAAAAGTCTGATTTTTCTTATTTAAAGGGATATTTCTCCCCAAAATGAAAATTGTCATCATTTACTCATGCTCATGTTGTTCCAAACCCATAGGAAATTTGTTCATCTTCATTTATTTTTTATCAAATCTGAGAAATTTCTCTTCACCCAAAATTCTGACACTTCAATGTTCATATGAGAATAAAAGTAATCTGTTAAATCACATCTGTTCATCATATAAAGAATTTGTGTCTTTATAGATTCTTAATCAGAAATTACATTATCAGCATAATATGAGTAAAAGTTTATATCATAATATGAAAAAAAAAAAAAACTTCTGTTTATTTCAACTTTTAAATAAAACAGTCCCAGATTTTGTCTACACTATGCCACTCGCTTGCAGTGTAGTTTTGTTGATTACAAAGGAACTGGCCTCATTTCATCATGTCACACTATGCTTGCATTGTAAACTTTAAATCAAACCAACCTGTGAATAATAGCATTTTTACTTCTTGATTTCTGCTGCTACAAAGCTGTGCATGTAAACAAAAGAAGTTTGTCTCTTCTCACCATGCCAAACATTCCAGGCCTGTCCTCTGGGACTTGAATGTCAGGGTAGATGTTCTCCAAGAGCCACTTAAAATCTTTACAGCCAAGACGCATTCGGAGTTTCCGTCTGTCTGTCACATCACCATATGCCTCCTGAAACAAGTGTTAAAAATGATGGATCCTGTTGAAGATATTTTACTACTTTTCTGTTTTTAATGTATTTACACTCAATTAGCCTACTTCATGAGCATTGGTATGATGCGGTTTGAGATTTATATTTATGCATATTAATAAGCTATATGCACAATAACATTATTTGCACACTTTTTAAAAAGAGAATATTTATTTTCATAAACTGCAACTTTTCATGAACTGCAACATTTTTAATTGTCCTTTTTCAGAGGTATGTAAAGACAACAGCAGCTCCACGTCAAATGAAAGAAGCTTTAGCAACACCAACATGCTGAATTGTTCAGTAACAGCAGCTATCGCCTGTTTGACGTATTGTTTTGGGTTTTCACACTGGTCTATTATACATTTACATCAAAATAATAATTTACATATACAGGTGGCTGCTTCACTAATCTGCATTCAGAGTTAATATTTTTTATTTATTTTGTATCTGATGTGACATCTCATAAGCCACTGGTCAGTCTGTTTTCTTTGTCAAACAAAGGCAAAAAACTTTGGACTGCTCGTCGAAAAAAAATGAATTCATTTACAAATATCCATCCCCAATGTGAATAGCAAGGAATGTGAATTTCCTGTAGGAATCCATCCATCAATTGTAATTCTTGTCTTAGTAAATACCACATGAACAGATCATTTACAATACTCTCTCTTCATTCTACATCAACCGTTTTCACAAAATGATCATATAAAAGCAAACAACTAATAACATATTGTCATCTTGTTTTTTAAGCATTCTGGTGCAATTACCCTGCAGCGGTACACCACAAATTGCTACATGCTGCAACATCCTGTTGCAAAATAAAGTTGTAACCCCATCTCAACAAACAAGACTGATAAAGGCCAAGTTCCTGTGTATGTCTGTGGCAGTGATGGTCCACACAGTGGTGCCAGAGATACTCTCCCCTATGAGGAACATCTGTTGGAGGTAAAGATCAGTTTAATCAGATCTGCACTAAGATGAATGACAAGAAATGCACTTCTAATTAACCAACTTGATAGCGAATCATCAATAACGTATGTTCTCGCTGTGAGTGCCAGCCGGGTGGCACAACATCACACCCATTGATGATCCATCTGTGATCAGGCTTCAGTCTCAACAAAGTCCTGAGGCGGCACGTATAGTCCAGCTACACGCTCAATCAAGTGGCTGTCAAATTAAGCTTTCTGATCATCAAGATCCATCAAAGAGCCTCATTCTGTTGATCTTTAGAACTCTGTGGCCCAATCGACAGAGATTTTGGCCATGAATAAAATATGCCGCGAGACTCGGGAGGGTGAAAGAGAGAGCGATCCTCTTACGAATTTGCGTGGAAGCAGAGTATGAAGGTTGTCAAACCTGATCCACGTTGGCAAGGCCAGTGTTTGCCTGTGGTTTATACCCAAAAAGAGAGAGAGCCTTATCTGCTGGCATCTCGTCAGATAGATTTCGAGTTGGTGGTGCCAACCTGGTAGCATCTCCAAGGTGCAGAGAGAAAAGGGTTATCCGATCTGTCACCGAGAGCACCGCTCTCTTTAACTACAGGGCTCGTTTAGAGCATATCCACAGATTCTGTAAAAATGGGTGAAGATACATCTAGATTTGTGCAAAGAAAATGTGCATCTTTCACAAGGGCTATGCGAGTCTATCTACACTAATCTCAAAGATAGACAGTGTGAAAACAAGCAGACAAGCAAACAAAAGCAGAGTTATACAACAGACTGCACAAGTAGGCGTACCAGACGAGCATGAGGGCTGCGATGGTAATACACTTCTCTGTATTCGTCCATCCAGACTTCTGCCGCCCGCACGCTGTTGGCCAAGGCCTTGTTTCTCGAGTATGGCGCTTTCTTCGGAAAGACGTGACCCACGTGAGAGCAAGGATGGATTTCCAGACTCCCTCCACACTGCCAGATCTGAAAAACACCCAAGACAGGAAACAGATTAGCCATCCGAAATAATCCGTAGGCAGCATTTTAGGCATATTTGAAATTAGGCAGTTTAATTATGCTGCCTCCTAAGGACCCCTGAATATGACATTACTCCAGGTGTATATTTTCTTGTACAGACCCATTTATACGGTGTAAGAAAAATATTCTTTGTGATATTGTAATTAAGATTAAATAATTATATACTTGGGTTTTGGACTGTCATTATACTAAAGTCAAAGCATATTTTTCTTAAAATATAATCAGGAAAATATTTACTTTTGTTTTAAATTGTCTGGGTATCTTTTTCTCCCCATTATTTAAGTATAGTTAGATATAATGCTGAAGAGAAACAATTTCCATTTTTTTAATTCATTTTAATTCAAATGTATTTGTATAACTCTTAAATAATAAGAGTAAATATTGCTCCAAATCAGCTTTACAGACAAAATTGCCATAATATCCTCAGTAAGCAAGCTAAAGGTCAGTGTTGAGAGGAAAAAGAAAACTCTCTAGATGAAAAGATTTTTCACTATACTGTATGCAGATTTGGTTTTGATTTCTAACTGTTAAAAATTATGAAACATCATGATTAATTCAAACAATTTTAAACAGTAATATCAAATTTGGTTATTGTGCTAAATTATTACAATTAACATTAAACAGTAACTTATTTGATTGAAATCTTAAGTTAACATGTTAATTCCTGCAAATAGACCGATCCAGAGAATAAATAGGCTTGTCTGTCATATTGCACTGACAGAGCAGCTGTCTGGTCTTTGTGACGTTCCTTGCTGAAATCTGGCTAAAACGCCGCTCCTGGCATTCAAGGCATTCAAAACACAAGTGAACCATTGCTGTCTATGTAACAGTGTTGGAATCATTCGGGGGATGAGCTGAGTAATGAGAGGAATAATGAGTAAGTAAATGCTGCATAAACACTGAAGGTCGATGTATTCATCATGTTAGCTCGCGGACACTTAATAAAGACACAGACTGACCTCCTAACCTTGTGTGACTCATCACACAGTTTTCAAACTAGGATTGTGACCATCTGCCGAAAGGCTTTCTCCCCTCAGGAAACCAAAACTTAGAGACAAACGAGAGGAACACTTTTTTAGAAAGAGTTCAACAAAACGCACTTACTCTGAATGAGAACTCCAGGTTTTCTCCACCCCACACCTCCATTCCTGTGTCATATGTGCCCAGGTAATGGAAGTACTTCTTATTGACTGCAAACAAACCCCCAGCCATTGTAGGAGACCTGGATCAAAGCAACAGACAGAGATATTTCTGTGATTCTACTAGGAAAATTACAGTAACGTCCAGGAAAAGCATAAATTACGGTGACCATACAACCTGTTTTTCCCGGACATGTCCTGGCTGGGATTTCAAAATGTAAAATGTCTGGCTTTTGGCATTATACATTATATGTACGTGTACTTGCATTTGACCATTCTCTGTACAGTAGATCCCATCTTCTTGCATGCCATGATTGGACAATTATGTACACTGCCTCCACGCTATTGGTCAAACTACTTGTCAGTCATTACCTTTAGGAAGTATGAAAACAACAGAACAAAACAAAGCCAAAAAAACCTGACATTTTAGGCAATTCTCAGCCAGGACATGTCC